AACTAGTACACACTCTAGAGGGGTGCGTACCTTAGAATTTCCCTTGGAGGATAGAAAGAATGGAAATGATGAGATTACTTGTAATAAAATTGATGTGTTCATTATATTCAATTGTTTGTTTTTATTAGGAATCTTCTATGTAGAAGTGACAAAAACTTTAAAGGTAAATTATATCCACTTCTCCAGAAGTTTAAAAAAATATAGTTAATCTTACACTTTTGTTAGGATAATACTATTAAATAGAAAATATTCTAAGAATGTGAAATTCTCATTATGTAGTGGAAGCATCATATACTTATTGATAATGTAATTTGCTAAAATCGATAATTAGAGTCAAATTGTTATTTAAATTCGTTCAATTACTAGAATCATCGGGATTTGAAATTATATTTTTTTATTATTCTCGATATTCTTGTCACGCAAACTTAATCTATTTTAAAATTATTGTCTCTATGAGTGATGGAAGCGTACATACATTATTTGTCCATGGAGGACTAGTAATACAATTTGACAAGTCATGAATTTTAATGTTAAGCAAGAGAATTAATGGTTAAATGTTTCATTCCTTGTTCTCTTCTGATCATCTTCAAGAATTTGACCTATTATTCTCCCTTTAAATAAAATGGAATGAGGGGACTATATTACCTAAACATTAATCAGAATGAAACATTGAACACACTCTTGAGCAAAAAATAATGATAATTCGGGAATAATAGGACTGTAATGCACTTAATAAAATATGTAAAAATTAAATCTATACTCTACAATTAAATATATGCATCAATAATGAATTTCATCCACTCATTTTAAATTGTCAACATGTATATATATATATATATATATATTTTGTGAGGTTGAAATGTTATTTATAAGAGACGCTTCTTTGTGCTTCTGGTCAATTATGATGAAAGATTCAGCAGTTGTTCTTCTAGTGGTATTTATGGTCGCTTATACCTAAGATGAAGTTTGGAAGCATGTTTTTATTTTTTGAAAAATTGTACCAATCATGAGAACGCACATGGAAATTTGCCCCCAAAGTGGAGTGTATAATTTAAGAGAAAAGTTAGGAATCATGAAATTTTTTCATGAAAATAATCATAAAAGATTTACGATTCTTGAATTATCTTGATTAGTGTGTGATATTTTATTCGAAGTGTAATTCAAGGGTCACAAAGCTTTCATGATTATTTTCACAAAAGATTTTTCATGATACCTAGCATTGCTGATAATTTAAATTTAAAATTAGTGAGATTGAGCTACATACATAACAAGGCTTTGTTTGACAATTAACTTTTTAACTAAAAAAACACAAAAGATAAAATAGGTTAAACAAGTTAATAAGATAAAATGTCATATTTAAATCATAATCACTTTACTTTTTCTCTCACAAAAGTTAAAAAAGTCAAAAATGTCAAACCAAACAAACTTTTAATCCCAAGTTAAGGTCTTGTTTGGGAACATGTTATTTTAGTAACTTTCTTATTTTTTGGCTAAAATATGAGGTAAAAAAAATTAGTGGGTTTGGAATGACTTTTTGATTTTTTATGAAATGCTGTGTAAAAAGCAAAGAGAAAATGAAAATTTTGACTTTTTGATATAATTTATAGGCTTTTTGATTTTTTTAATAATTTTTTAACTTTTAAGTTAAAAATATTATATGCCAAACGAGACTTAAAATAACTAAAAAAATCAAAAAATCAACTAAAAAATTTTATTACCAAACGACAACTAAATATGATTTATTAATTTACTTTTCTGAATAATTTTTTGAATTTGTATTATTAGGGTTTTTTATTTTATTTTATTTTTGTGTGTGGCTTTCTAACCTCTAATCTCAGCAAAAGCGATTCTCATGTTTGTCCATTATTGACCAGGGTAATAGGCCTTTCATCTCTAATATCCATCACATCTCCAATGTAATTTGAAAAATGATACACAAGCTTAATTTTTAAACTCATTTTTTAGATTTAATAATATATAAAAAAATATGATTAACTGATTGAGAGGGTAATTTCTGTTAAGAAATTGGGCCGAACTAGGTAGCAGTGCTTGTGGAAGTTGGGCCGCGCAGTGGGCTGAGAAAAGAACTCAAGTAGCTTGATTCTGGGCTGATTAGGTGATAAGCCAATCAGTGAGTTAGGCCCAGCTGATAGAAGATGGCCGTATGAAGAAGGCTGAGCTAACTTTAGCTCGGCACAATCCATCTGATGGTCAAGGATTGTGCGGTTTGGTCAATGGCAGACCGATGTAATGTAAGTCGGTCGGATATTTATAGCTGAACAGAGTGTTGTTGCCATATCACTTGGCATGTAGTGAGGTAGGTATTCTAAGGATAAACATTGTCCTTTAATAATGTGACTCCTAAGAAGACTTTGCTGAGGAGAGTTAGAATCCTAATAGGATTATGTCACGCGTAATCTATAAAAGCTCATGACAGAACCTAATCTCAAGTATTGCAATTCTAACTCTTGAATACGCAGGACTTTTTGTCTATTATTTATTTGTTGACTCAGGCATCGGAGGGGTTTCCGGCACACACTCGCCGGCTAACTCACGTTTATATTCTCAAGTGATAAGACGACGATGTTTGGAGGAGTACAAACTTGATCAACAAGATTATACGAGGATGATTATTTCGTGCTTGTACACTAATGATTAAAAAGTATATGAGAGATAAAGCTGACTTAGATATTTCAATAGATTGCAACATTATTGTGTTTAAGAAATAAGTCTAATTTAAGGGCTTGAACAACACTACTCATTGTTTTTTTGATAATTAGGTGTTCAGGTTAATTTACACGCGTACCTTGACTAATCCCAAGAGACCAATCCCACTACTCACTTACAGAGGCCTAATTTAAAGTTTTTTAAAGTTAGAGCAAAACGCCTTATATAGCCCAGCCCAACTCATGTAATAATTTGATAGATTGAAAATGGAATTAGAATGGTCTTTTTTTAATTTTATTTTAGAAACTAGAATTAGAATGGTCTTAGACTTTGTTTGGCATAAATGATTTGGGCTAAAATAGTTTCAAAAAGACAAAATAAATTAAAAAGTCAATAAGACAAAATGTTATATCAAAATCATAATCATTTTATTTTTTCTTTCACAAAAGTCAAAAAAGCCAAAATGTTCATCACAAACAAAACTTTTTAGTCCCAAGTTAAAATAGCCAAAAAATTAACTCACATCTCAATTAAATCTCATATTTGATTTCAAGGAAAAAGAAAAAAAAAAGAAAAAGAAAAAGAGAGTAATACTATAATAATCATATTATATATTATATTTTATTATTGTATTGGTTAAAAAGAGTTTCACCATTTATGTATCTTGTCAATAAATACAATAGTGATACATTAAATGGTTGTAATATTATCAAAAAGAATTTACATATTAAAAAAAAAAAAAGGATATTTACTAATAAATCACATCTCACAAATAAGTACTTTAATTAGTCCCAAATTTTTTCTATTGATCTGTTAAATCCTATTAGTAGAGAGTTTTTTTTTCTTGTAGTCTTATTTTTTAGTTTGGTAGTATTTTGGTGGACAACTATACCCTTTTATTAATGTGATAAGTATGATGTGATACTTCAATGTGACAGGTATTAATGTGACACTCTAAAAAAATTAAAAACTCTTTAGGGTATTTTTTTCCTTCTTCTAAATATGACAATATAGCGGATATGATGTGACACTCTAAAACTTTTACTTCAAAAAAAATAAAAACTCCTTAGTGTACTTTTCTCAAATGTGACAACGTGGCATATATGATGTGACACTTCAAAAAAAAAATAAAAACTGTATACTTTTCTCAAACGTGACAACATAGCAGATATGATATGACATTCTAAAAAAATTTAAAAACTCTTCAATGTACTTTTCCTAAACGTAACATGTGACGTTCTAACGTGACAGGTATGATATGACATTCTAAAAAAATTAAAAACTCTTTAGTGTATTTTTTTCAAATGTGACACTCTAACATGGCGGGTATTTTTACTATACTTTTTTCAAATGTGCCACTCCAATGCGGCGGGTAAATGAGTCATTACACATCCAAAATGACTAAATGGATCACAAGAAAAAATATGGGATTATATGGATTACAAGTCCAAAATATGAAAATTATTAATCATTCTCCCTAAAAAAAAATCAGTATCTAAAAAAAAATCAGTATTTAAGATATGTTTAGGAATATATTAAAAAAGTTTAAAAAATATAAAAAGAAATCACCATAAAAAAATTAATTATTTTTTTTTTAAATTTTCTATACGTCTTTTAATAAAAAATTAACTAAAATAAATAATTCATCCATTCAAAAGAATGACTATTCCATTAGATTTCATTCCTGACTAAAATCATTCCCATCAAGCAAACACTACCTAACATCATCTTCTACTGCAAATGGTGGGAGTGGCTGAGCACCACTCACTTTTGATCCAAACTTTTGACTCCCTTGCCAACACCATAGTGCTATTTTCAAACCTACCTTGAAGTGGATTTCTTGGTGTATCCCCATATACACCTGAAAGCTTAAGATCTTGATGAAAAACACATACAACTAAAAGAGAGTCTTTACCATCAGCCCAGCAAAATCATCTATATGATGCTCTCCCCTATCTCTCAGGTTTTTGATCAGAATTAACAGCACCATAAGTTAATATTGCCTTGATTTTTGAATGATCACATCAACGATCAAACACCACGATCAATAGTAGGACAATTCAGAGAGAGTAAAACTAATAAATTGGGCTTCTAGAAGGCAACTAATTGAAAGAAAAATAATAACCACAGCCGGCGGCCAACCCTGACTTTGACCTGGTCCAAGAAGAAAGCAGAAGCAAGTTTTCCTTGGTTTGACAGATATTGCCAAATCAGGAGTGATACGGTCAACTCTCAGCACAGCAGAGCAAGTGACGTGAACTATAGCGATTGCCAACCGGGAGGCATTATAGCATTCACAAATCACAATCCCACAAACTTTTCTACAATTAAGATTGAAATTTGCGTACTACGCTCAAATCTGAAGTTAGTATATTTAGAATGCAATAAAATTTATATACAAGACTTGTCTTCCCTCAAAATCTTCATTGGGGAAGAAATCTTGAAGACATACACCATACATGATACAATTGATTGAGGTTGTTGGAAAGATTTAGAAAAGAATCAGAATTGCTAGCTTCTGATTTCCTAGGCTGCAAGTTTCTTCAAAAAAAGGCACTTGCAGGGAAATAATTGGACTGTCTTCATCTGAATTACTTTCTACTCGCATGAATTATGGAAGAAAGCGAGCTAATTGAATCACCATCACGCTTACATCATCAGTGGAACCTCTCGTTACAGACAAGTCAGCAAGCTTTTTACAACCAGAAATTGGATCTGGGTTATCAACACCTACGCATAAAGGGCGAACTACATCTACTGCCTCCTGAATACAAACCTGAAAAAAGAAGAAAAAAAATCATCAGCAAACAAATCTTCTGAAATGAAAGCAGCATAGATAGATACAATTCAAATGACATAATTAAAAAAAGTAGGTTATTTTGGCAATTTACCTTTTCCCAAAGTCCATCAGAAGCGAGGATTAAGAACTCGCAATCGGGTCTAATTCTTAATATTTTTGTCTCCGGTTCTGCTACTACCCATTGTTTAAGATGCCGATCACCAATTGCCCTCGATACAGCAAGGGACCCTTGTAATCTCCAAACTCCATGGCAACAATCAACATAGCCTCCCTACATAATCGGAATTGCAACAATCCATCAGCTTCAAATTCTTCATATTTTGCATAGATTTTTTTTTTAAACTAGAAATATATAGCTGATTAATTACCTGGTTTTCAATCCGGTCTTTTTCATCTTTCCTCGAAGGCTGGTGATCTACTGTGAGGGCCTCTGCAACTCCTCCCCGGCTCATCACAGCACGACAATCACCGGCATTTGACACAACAAGAACGCCTCCACGTATCAACGCTGTGACGCAGCAAGTACCACCGCTAGCATCTTCTTTTAAAAACTCAGAATCGGTGGTTAGGTAACCATCTTTTATTGCTTCCTCTATTTCTTCTTCACTTCTTCTAGTCACTTCATCAATAATGTTTGAACCTAAGTTCTTTGCCACAAATTCAGCAGCTTTTGCTCCTCCATGCCCATCAAAAACACCAAAGAAAGCCTGTAATTGAAGAAAATAAAGAACTTAGATACTAAAAACCGCAAAAACTGATTCCTTTGTCTTAATTTGTCCTATTTTCTCTTTTCATTTCTAACATGAAAGACTATCAAATGAGCTAAATCCTTAAATCCTTTTCACTTCATTTTCCAATCAATTATCAAGTTTCTAATGTTTTGTAATGGTAGTTCAATTTCAAATTATAAATAAACTTTATATATTCAATCATCAAATTCTAAGCAAATTGATCATCATAGTAATTCAAAATTTTTTCTTTATTTTAAAATTCATCAGCTTCCAATCAGCTCAATATTGATTCGCCTCAAATTTTCAGTACTCATATTCAAGTCAATTTGTTGCTGTAAATACCGCCAGATAATAAGACACCAAATTAAATTTGGTGGTTCGGCAAACTCAACCTATCTTAAATACAGAAACAATAATTTAGTAAATTTATTTTAATATTAAAATACACAAACTCGATTAATACCTGTTTAGCATCTCCTTGAAGATTGACAATGGCGGAGTATCGATCCTCCATAGCACCTCTCTTCCCTCTCTTGCAGAAAACCGAATACCCTTTCCCTTCAAATTCCACCTCATTCAACCTATCCACCACCGTAATCGGCGTCGCAACAGCCGAAAAACTCAGCGAAGCAATAGGAATGTCGATCCTCGCCGGCCTCTTCCTCTTCAAAACCGCCGGCGACAACGACGAAGTAAAAGTAGAAATAGAAGAATCCTTCAACTGCCTCTGTACTCGAATCGCCAAAGGCGATAGCGGAGACGAAGAAGACGGAGATGAAGACAACGAATGCGATTGCAACATTGACGGTGATGAAGATCCAATGCAGAACATCGATGAAACCCTAGGCGATTGTGAGAAAATCGGCGAGTTTGCCACTGCTACGGCGCAAGGCATGCTGTTGTTGTTTTTGCAGTTCAGAGAGAGAGAGAGAGAGGAGAAGCTGTTCGGTGAGTGTTGGAACGTGTGTAATATATACATATAGAGAGGGGGGGGGGGGGGGGGGTTTTTTTGGTTTTGAACGGCGTCGTTTTTGTAATTTGTTGAAAGCGTGAGTATTGTGGAGGTGTTTATTGAAGACTGAATCAGTGTCAACGGTCAAACACGTTAAAATAGGTGCGGTTGAATCTAGACTTGGCAAGTTGGCAACACAACACAACACACTGGCTCTTAGTTGTAGGAGAACTGGTCTCTCTCTCTCTCTCTCTCTCTCTCACACTCATCACTCTTTGATTGCTTTTTCTCTCAACAAGGTCGGTCTATTTTATATTATAGTTCGGGCGTTTTTGGTTTATATGTTTTGATTATCTATATTATTATTTACAGTCTGGACCGTCTCCAGTTAAGAATTTTAATTGGACAGTTCAATTTTAGTTAATTTTGGATTTATTATAGATTTAATTTAATAATTTAAATTATTTAATGTGTAAAATTTGATTAATAATTAACAAGTTCTTCAATTAAATTGTTTGAATCATTGATTTGATTTTAATGATGAGTCTACATAAACTTAACAATACTCTTTTGGCATGTTTATTGTATAAAACAATCACAAACTTGATTTTGATATTATAAAATTTTATTGTTTAGAAATGTCGAGAAGCAGTTATAATAAAAAGCCAAATAGAGAGAAGACATGTGTTCCAGAGAATCACATGAAATATTCTGTCTTGAGCCACCAGGCTGAAGGTGCCACGTGTCCCTCTACATGTACTGTTTACTATCTGTTTGCCTCCGCAACTATCCTTTTAAGCCTCAACAAGTGTAGTTGCGACGGGAGTGTTTGGTGTAGCAACTCCCTTTTGAACCTTAGCAAGTGCAGCTACAGCGGGAGTACTTTACCGCTGCACCTGCCTTCTCAGTTCTATTTGACCAGTACATGCATTCTCAAGACTCCATTAGTCTACTATCGACTACATTCGTGTTCACCTTAGCGAAGCCTCTACCCTTAGCCACTTAACCACAAACTCCCCAGCTTCCTAGAGCGAAGGCTACAGCTAAGCCTGCTATCAACCATGCTATGCCTTAGTACCAAGCCCAAGGGGGCTTCCTGAGTCCTGCCTATGCAACCAAGGCAGGTTCATGACCTGGGAAATGGAAATGAAGTCCCTTATGTTCGGGCTGCCCTGCTCCCATCTTCGCGGGGTTGCCGCGATAAACTGGTATTTCTGGGCCTGCTATCAGCTCTAACCAGTAAGTCTTGGGGCCTGCTATCAGCGCCAAGTTAAATAAACTGTGGGGCCTGCTATTAGCCTTAGGCCAGCTAATGCCTTGTGGCCTGCTGTCAACGCCAGGCATTAACCTCAGAGGAAAGCCTCTCTCAAAGACTGCTATCACATTGGCAAGATATTCCCTCTGCAACTTAGTTGCTGCGGTAGTCATTTCCTGCAGCAAGTTCAGACGGCATGACCGAAGATATTAGAGATGGCGACACCGACAGAATGCCTCCGCAACTTGGGCGTTGCAAGTATTGTCTCAGTTGCCTCGGTCTTCTCTTTCTCTCGGCAACTCCAGATGATCGTGACATTAACATTACTTGGAATGGCGGCGGCACTGAAGATACTTAGAATTGTGGCACTGAGACAAAGTGCCTCAGCAACCCTGCTGCTGCATATGTTTCGTCGTCAATTTCAAATGGCGGCGGAACCGAAGTTAATAGGAATGGCGTTGCTGAGACAAAGTGCCTCAGCAACTCTGCCGCTGCACATGTTCCCTCGGCAACTTCACCGCTGCAGGGGTTGCCTCTGCAACTTGACTTGGGCATTTTTCCTCGCTGAGTCCATCTGGAGCCTTGGTGGGTTAGACCTGCCTTGGCCCACTACCCTTGGGCTTTGGTCCATGCTCCTTTCTTATCCCTGGTCGTCTTCTCAGGGCAATCTTAGTGCTTGAGTCCATACTTAGTTTGGGGTTTAATTTCTGACCCTCTACACTCATCAATTATAAAAATCATGTGCAAAACTCACTAAAAACTTGTTCTAAATTGATTTGTCATATGAACAAGTATAGCTTGAACACGTGTTCAGCTTGTTAAGTTTTTATTCTTAAATTAAATTTGAATAATTTTGTACTCGACTTGACTTGGCTCGGTTTGCTTATAACTTTATAAGTAATTAAGATTACAAATGAGCTGAGCTTAACGAATTTCTGAGTGTTCAAATTTGTTTACTAAGAATTAGTTGAGCGCTCATGCTCAAAGCTCAAGTCGAGCTCAAATAATCAAGTTCGAACTTGGCTCGTCAAATATTTGACAAATTCGAACTCAGCGCAAGCCAACTCGATTACATAAACGAGCCAAGTTTGAGTTTGAATTTGAATTTTTTAAATTAATTTAACTATTTAGATTAAAAAAATTATGAGCAAAATATACAACAATGTTTATAATAACAATAATAATAAATTTTATTAATAAAATATGTAAATTTATACAAATACTAAACATAAATAAAATAAATTAATAAAAAATTATTTCATATATTATTAAAAATAAATATATTTTTTTTTATGTTTACGAGTCTTATCAAATCGAGTTCAAGATTATTTGAGCTCAACTCGATTATAAATGAATTTAAAAATCGAATTCAAACTATCTTATTTAGCAAACAAATCGAATTCAAACTAATTTTAAAAGAATTAACAGTTTGATTTGTTTACAATTTTAAAAATAATCAAGTCTAGATGGGTCATAAAAAAGAATAATTCAAAATGTTTGGAGCCTTGCAACTTTTGACTATTCTTGCTAATTAAAAACACACTCCTCTCATTCTATTTTTATATTCAGCAATGATAGAGACCCCTTTTCTGGAGGATCCCCACAACCCTCTTTATGATCCACACCATTCATGATGTGGACCTCACACATACATGAGTGGACCCCACACATCATGAATGGTGTAGATTAGTAAGGTGGTTGTGGGGGTCCTCCACAAAAAGGGGTCTAACTCATTTTTTTCTTTATATTATGTTTAAATATTTAAGAAATTTCTTGAAACTTCCATTCCTTTTTAACGTTACAAATTCAAAATTCAACCAAAAAAAAAAAACATAAAAAACATAGTCGGATGACGGAAACCATGACGTCCTTTTAATTTTTAAAGTTGTTTTTATTCGCCGTCAACCGTAGGATTAAGCTACCGACTGAATCTTATTGGTCCACCTCAGCGGTCAGAAACTAAGACCGACATTTGATACAAGTTGTCGTGCATGCCAATGCATGCATTGCATTTTGGTTTCCAAACTCATTAACCTTTACTTCATGTTTTCTTATCTTTTTTTTTAATGTCTAACTCCAATTTTGTTTTCTCATCTACTTTTTGACTGTCTTCAATAAATTACAGGCATTAATGTTTATTTTTAAAGAATATGATTAATTTAATAGTTGATCATACGTAACGTAGCGTTGATCACGAAAAAAATTATACATATATATATTTTTAATTTTATATTCTTTCCTTCGGTTTTATATCGACTCTTAGGTCTCGTTTGGGAATTAGCCCGTTTACTTAAAAAGTCAAAAGATTATTAAAAAAAATCAAAAAGCCAACAATTCATATCAAAAAGTCAAAAAAAATTTTTTCCTCTACTTTTTGCACATCTTTTCGTAAAAAACTAAGAAATCATTCCAAACATACTAATTTTTTTTAGTTTATATTTTAATCAAGTAATTAAAAAATTACTAAATTGACTTATTCCCAAACGTGGCCTCACGCACAATCTATTAAACTTTCCACAGTCTTCTATGTTATTTCTTTGAAAGCTAAGTTTTGGAAAAATAAAATTTATAAATTTATATATATATATATATATTAGTTGAAAGGGATGAAATTGCAGTGTTGCGTTGTATTTGTGGTGAATGGTGGAAGAAGAGTTTGACTGGATTTGAGAGAGGAAAAAATCATGATTGGTTACGTGGTAATTTTAGGATTAAATTACAAACACACTTTTTGATATTTATTTAAATTATAAATTATTTTTTATGATTTTAAAAATTACATCTTATTTTTTAAAATTTTTAATCGCATTACTAATAATTTTTCTCATTAATAACCATTAAGTTAATTAATATTTTTTAATGATGTTAGCAAAATATTTTAATTAACAATTTTGATAATTTTATTATTGTATAAGAGGATAATTACAAATTATATTTTTTGTCAATTCTTTTATATGATAAATTTTGACAATGAGATATTTGTAATATCTAAAACCACATGAGACAAGTTATATCATAAATAAATCTCAAAAATATATATTTATAATTATCAAAAAAAAAAATAAAATGTATCTAAAACCACATGGGACAAGTTATATCATAAATAAATCTCAAAAATATATATTTATAATTATCAAAAAAAAAAAATATAAAATAAAAAGAGCGATGTGTCAAATAGAATAAATTATGCACAATGCACGTGGATGTGCACCTGGTCTCATTTTGTAATATTATTTTTATGGATTACCTATTCATTTTCTTAACTAAACCAAACAAAATAAAAAATTTAACACCATTAATTATCATTTTTTTCTTCTTCTTCTTATCTTTTTCGTTTCTATTTTTTTCTTCCACAAATTTAAAGTGTAAACATAACATTAATAAGTTTTTTTTTTTTAATAATTACTTTTAGTTTTAAGGATTTTCTAATACAATCATCTAATAAAAGTAAATTATTGAATGATCTTGGACATTACTTCACAGCAATCACAAAATTGCTACACTTTTGTTGTCTCTTGAAACATTTTTTCTTATCCAAGAGGCAAAATTTATTTATTTATATGGAAGTATTGGCTACAAAAGGTGGGGTAGTCATCCCGGAAAATACTTGGAACCCTTATTTTGAAGGATCCTCACGACTCAAAATAATTATGATCGGTCATGTGTGTTTTTCTTTTTGTTTTGTTATTTTCCCTATCTTTCTGACACGTGTGCATGGGTCGTGAGGTTGGAGTGTTTGTAGGAGT